CAGATAGATAGATAGATAGATAGATAGATAGATAGATCATACAAAACCGCCTTTCACTGTGAAAAACACTGGAGATATTCATCTGTTCATTTGGAGGACAGTTACTACTGGTGTCAAGCTTGCACTTTTTAGTCATCTTTGCTGAGATCATCTGGTAAATGGGCTTTGTGAATATCAATAATGACCTATCAGGCCACCTTTCTTAGCAGCGTTCTAAGTCATTACTGGGACACGTACAAAGCGGGGGGCAGCGGTCAGGAAATTAGTGAATATATAAGCAGGGACAGAAAATGAGCTGGACGGGGCTTTAATACGTTGTGCTGTATGCCATGCTCTCAGGTCTGGGAGTGCATTCCAATTAGCTTGTTCAGAGCAGGCGCAGCAGAAATACCTGCATTCGTGAAAAGTTGCTTTATCAACTCCATCTTTCATTACTGAGATTAAAAATCCCCGGGCCATGTAACTCCAAATCCTCTTGTAAGTGATGGACACTGCGCCAGCTTTTCTGCTTACAAACTTTGGGAGGTTGACTGAGGTGACTCTAGCACCTCTGAGAGACCACAACTATTTTGGCAGGTTCTCATCACAATGGGATGGTAGTTATCGACATGCAGGCGTTCTGTTTACAGCTGGTTAAGTGTGGGTTGATGCATAACATTGTCAAGGCCACCCTGTCATACAGGGATTGATTATGATGTGTGTGATTTAGACTGCGTTATTTGGCATTCTAACCTTGTTCTTCTGGCACTTTCAACAACTACGACTTTTAAAGCATTTTGTAGGTGCAAATACCACATAGTTTTAACTATTACCTGACATAAAATCAACCTAACATAAAATGTAGCTATTTTTATTTCTGTATCACTCCTCCTACCCTCCTCCCATTTTTCCTGGTCCCACCTCAGAGGTCTTTACCCTTTAGCTGTATCTAACAATTACAACCATAAACATTTTTGTTATACCATAATCCTTTGAACTAATATTATATTCAATGTAAAATAAAATAGTAAAATTATTTTTAATGATTAACTAATTTTAATGACCGAATGCATAATAATCATATATTTTTTTGATTTCCACCCCATTACAAAAATTCCTAAAGATTGTAACACCCAAGAAGTGACATTATATGGACATTATTTGCAGCATGACATGTAAAAAATATATAATAATAATAATAATAAATTACATTTCCTTTTTTTGCCAAAATTTGCTAGCCTTTCTCTAGTCACAGCTCAATTCAAACTAAATGGGCACCCCTCTTTCTTTCAATCCTGTTATACATTTTGTTGTCATTTTTTTATTTCATTATATAGCCTACATTTTGTGTATAATTACATTTAGGGGTGTATGATATATATCGTCTGCGATAATATCTAATTGTTGTTTTAACGATGTGCGATTTGACATTATCGAGTATATTACAAAAACAAAACAAAACACACCTACAGAGTGCACACATATGTGAAGTCTAGTAGGTTAGACTAGTGCGCGTGCGCATTTAGAGTGTGTTCTTTTACTGCGTGATTCAGTCTATTAAAATTCAAGATATGGGGCAGAAAATGTATATATATATAGATATATATATGACGTGTTTCGTTCCTGAATGAATCAACCGTTTAATGATTCGGTTCAATCGCAATGACTCACTTATTAACAGTGACTTGCTGCCACCTATTGGCGGTTTTAATTTCACATTTAAAGTATCTTTTCATTTTTTTTAAATCATTTCAAACATTATTTATGCATTTGTAACTGCAGGTTAAATCATTCCATGTCCCTCTGAGCTGCATTAAACAGTGTGTAAATACATCTAAATGCCACTTCGGATGCAACTTCTGTGTTTCCTCTGCATTGCAAAGATATATTTTGTTGATACTGATTTAATTTGCCTGGTAAAAGCCCAAAAGTCTTATTCTAACCGACTGATTAAATGTACGAATTTGACTCAAAAGATGATCCACACTTTTAGAAAAAAATGGCTTTAAAAAGGTAAAAATGCCCATAAAAGGTAAAAATCAACTTAAACTCATTGAAAAAAGATTAGCTACTTTCTATCACTGCTGTGAACTGACCACCACACAGAATATGAAGAATATCAAAAACATTAGGAGTCAGCTGTCTACGATAGTCCTTACGATGTCAGCACAATAACACTCTCAGCAAAATATCATCTAATTATTGTTATCGATAAAATATCAAGATATCTTTTTTTTGTCAACATCGCACACCCCTAATTACATTTGTTTGATATTATTTAATGGGTAACACTTTATTTTAAGAACCAATTATCACTATTAACTAGCATTCATATTACTAACATATTGGCTGTTTATTAGTACTTATAAAACACATATTATGGCTTATTTTGCATGACCATATTTTAGATCCCTTAATGCTATCCCATACATTAACTTAACAACTACTAACAACTATTTACTAACTATTAATAAGCAGCAAATTAGGAGTTTAATTGAGGAAAAAGTCATAATTTATAGTAAATCAATAGTGAGAACTGGACCTTAAAATAAAGTGTGACCATCAGGTTTATAGCCAAAAATGCAACAGGGTAAAGTAATACGGCTGCAAAACTTGTAAACCACATATAAAATTAATAGAAAATAATCAGCCCTTTTGATATTTAGTTTGACCTCCTGAGGTTGACAATCAACATTTTCTGGAGGTCAAAGGGAGAGTTCACTTAAAAATGAAAATTCTGTCATTATTTACTCACCCTTGTGTCAACCTGTATGACTTTCTTTCTTTCTAATCTTCTTTGATTACCATTGATTTGGTTACCAGTTCACACATTTACTTTCCATTGTATGGACAAAAAAAAAAAAGACAGAGAGAGAGAGATTTCTCAAAATATTTCATGATGGCGAGTAAATGAAAACAGAAATTACATTTTTGAAATCTGTTATTTGAAATTTCCATTTGTAGACTTTCCCTTTAAGCACCCCTTTCACTAAAAATAAAAATAAAAAATTAGTTTTATACCCTATTTTGTTCCCTATTCATGGTGCCTTTTGCTTAACTCCCTTTGATCAGTACATAACCATTCAGTGGATGACATGTCCGTTTGTCCTTGTCCTTTTGTCTTCTTGGGTCACTAACCCTGAATTAAAAATTCAGCATATACACACAGAGTGTGCCTAGTCTGTGCGTGTAGAGACTGCCTGTGTGATTTCCAGGGAGCAGCATTATTTTGGTAAAACAGGCCTATTACATCGTTTAAGGCTCTTGTGCCGCACAGCCACCGGAGAGATGAAGACTCAGCATCTTGCATTTTGAGACAGTTTAATATTGAATCTCTAGACTTGATGAATCTATCTGTCAACAGAGGGTGGACCACAGTGAGGTGAACTGGCTGATGTGCTGTTAGTATGATAATAAGCGAAGATAAACTCATTAAACATATATTGCCTGACAGTCACAGCGAAGAACAACATAATAACAGATCAATGATGTCTGAAATTACATTCAAATGTGCATCTACTGTATTATTTGGTAGGTTTCGATTCGACTGATTCTATTGTTAGATTTACCTTCACTGAATTGGAAAACAAGATTCTGATTGGTCAACTGTGGAATTCATCATTATTCATTATTTTTGCATAATGATGCTAAACAGATTGTCTTCCTTGGCAACTATTCTCTTATACTGTCTCATATCACTCCATGGTCTCCTTCATCTCACATGATAAATTAATTTCACTCATATCAATATTTAATGTCCATGTATTTATTTGCCAAGTAGTCATGTAATAAGTCGGATAATGTACAATCAGCCTTTCATTATTGCAAAATAAACCCTTTCCGGATGATATGAAGACCTTAATGATGACTGATTATATTATTTCTACTAATAACTGATATAAAAACTGCTTAAACTTTTTTTTTGTAGATATACTGTTGTTTTTCAACCACATGCACTCCTAACCCTGTATTTCTGCTTAATATCAGAAAACATACACACACACACACACACACACACACACACACACAGGGGCCATGCTGCTCTCAAAAAATCAACTCTCTCTCTTCTCTTCAATTTTTCTGCCTCCAGAGAAGCTAAAAATACACTGTCGCTACTGCAGTCAACCAGCATTTGTGCTACAGCCTACACACACAGACAGGCTTGGTTCAAGGCACAGCATCATCATACCCAGGTTTCATATGTGTCTGGAGGGGTTTCAGTGATAATAGTTTCATAACAGAATTATTATTTTCTTAGGAAGAGGTTTGGCACAAAGGGCACCTGACAGCTAATTCATCTGTTCCTGTACTGCAAATATTACCACTGAGATTAAAGGAGAGTGAGAGCAAACAAATGCCGCTCCAAATGCAAAAGGATTCATTTATCAGCACTGGATTTCTCTACTATGTATTATATTGTGATTTGGGACCAAGAAACATTCATCACTGTAACAGTTGGACAGGAGGTGGAAGAAAGACAGCAAAATAATGGTCTCATCAACTATACCTTGTGGTTGTCTTCTCTGAAATTAACAGACAGAAGCTGCAGTTTGTGTATCAAAGATGTCTGTTTTTTGTGTGTTTTAGGAACTTTGGACCGCAGCATGGGATGCTCTGGGAGCCAACAGCATGCTGGATGACCTCCAGCATGCGGCCGTCACAGCTGGACCTCACGCTTGTGGCCATCCGTCGTTTGTAACTAAGGGTGAGAAGTTAACAATAATAATGTAAACAATAATAATGAATAATAATAACTTTGTTTATTTATTTATAATACAATTTATGTCATTTTTTTTCGGTTTGTGAAGCTTTAAATATAATATTAAAAGTACTAGTAATAATAATAATAATAATAATATGCTTCACGTGCCAAATAAAACAACAACAACAACAACAACAACAAAACTACATTATAAACTAACATGTACGACTCCTCTACGGTTTGTGAAGCTTTAAATATAATATTAAAAGTACTAGTAATAATAATAATAATAATATGCTTCACGTGCCAAATAAAACAACAACAACAACAACAAAACTACATTATAAACTAACATGTACGACTCCTCTACGCCCAAAGGTGTAGCCATCATTTCAGAAGTGAGGGGGACACAGGTGACAAATTTAATCATACTTTTTTTAATCTAATTGACCATAATAATAATAATAATTAATAAAAAATAAAAATTTCTTCTCTCTTTTAATTGGCTACGAAATCAAATTCACTGCTGGACAATAACCAATAAATTGTATTCTATAATATTTTTGCCTGTATTTTCCTAATGACAATTTTATGATTGGTTTATATACTACAAACACTTTAAAAAAATGTATAACAGAATAAGGCAGAAAATATATTTTATAGTTTTTGTACTGTAATAAATGATATGTCAATTAGCACGGTGTCATTCATATACTTTATTTATTACCTGGAGATGACTTGAAAAACGCATAAAATTGTCAATATCGTTTTAAATTTATTGTCTTTACTTCTAGCTGCACTAACTAACTAACTATTATCACCAGTGTTGGGGGTAACGCATTACAAGTAACGCGAGTTACATAATCAGATTACTTTTTTCAAGTAACTAGTAAAGTAACGCATTACTTTTTAATTTACAAGAGAATATCTGAGTTACTTTTTCAAATAAGTAACGCAAGTTACTTTTTTAATGCATTACTTTTAAAAGTAACTTTCCCCAACACTGATTATCACTGAAACCACTCCAGACACAAATATAAAAAAGTCAGGACGTTTCTGCTTTTTATTCAGCTAGGCGATAGCTGGATTGCTTTATTGCTATGAGTCAGACTTCCTGCGCGAGAGCGCCCTCCTCCGGCTTCGAGTGAAACAGAGACACTGCAGGAGAGTGTTCAGCGCTCTCTAATGTTCACATCGTTTTGGATCTGAATAAAACGTATCCAAAACGATGTGACTATTGTCTCTTTGAATTTAAATATAGATTTTTTACATTTACGTTTTATTAAAAGTGTCAAGTTAAAGACGATTGTTTTTACACTATTACAATCGTCATCCATCAAAACTGCTGGTCTAGCGATTAACTGGTCAGAGTTATTCGAGCGAGAAACAGGTCTTTGTTTATGCTCTTGTTGTTAGTCCTCCTGTGGTTGACACACAGTTATTTGGGAGATATAGTTTCTGAGCCGAGCAATAATAAGATATGGCCAAATAGGGACTAATTAGATTTTCTTATTGCTGCCCTGCAGTCCATTATGCACAGCTCTTTATGTAGAGCGCTCGTTACGTGATTGAGATGGCCAATCAAATCAAAGAAAGGCGAGCTTTACTGTTTACTGTTTGAATTCCTGTCACGGTGAAGGTAAGATGTAACGTTAGGTTCTGTGGCTAAACGTTTAATATTTGACGTTTTACGATATAAATGTTAAATGACTGACAGCAATATCCAGTGGAGCAAACTCCTACAATTTTATCTTTTTTGTTTTGTTTTGTTTTTTGTGGTTTTGAACATTCGAAAATATATACTGTACTATAATTTAGGAGACATGACATGCGGGAAAATATATATCGTGGCTACAAATTAAGAATTTCTTCCCACTGACTTATTTATTTGTTCTCTAGTTTTAGTTTAATCATGGCTACGAATTAAGTTCCCTCATTTTAATCGTGGATTGGAGGGGATACTGGGGGGGGGGGTGCACATGACGTCATTGCTGTGGCACGAAATGCAGGAAGTGATTTTTTTTTCTAATCGCTAGCAGAGACTCAAAATGCCTATGTTTTGCGTTGTTTATGGTTGCTCAAATCGGTCAAACCTGCGTCTGCGGTCGGGAGGAGCCGAGTCGGATAATGCTCGTGTGTGCAAATAGTTGATATAAAAGATAATATAAGTTAACATAGTTGTTTATCTGAAAAACAATGCTACAGTCAGTTATTATAGACTGCCAGTTTACCCAATTGTATTTTGGCACCTCGGGTTGCCAGTTGGCGGGAAACACAGCACATTTCATTTCAGGCATGGAAGCTGGCAAACGAAATGGGTCAGAGCGGGAAAATAGAACTTTATGCCAACCCTAAAAAGCCT